ATTAAACAAAAATTATAACTTTGATTCTATTGACCACCTATGTGCCTTCTTTGGATCATCAGCTCATTCTTGGTGATATTGTGCTCAAGACAGAACAGTGGTTCCTATAATGTGGTTAGTACCCTTTCACATACTGATTCTGCTCTGCAAGACTTTGGATTTTGTTGTTTTTTATGTTCTTCTGAATTATATACTAGCAGTTTGGAATCAAACAGGAGAACGATGGAAAGTTCTCAACAGAGAACTAAAGGTTACAAACTGAGAGCCAGTTCGGTCTAGTGGCTAAGGCACCAGGCTAGAAAGCAGGAGACTATGAGTTCTAGTCCTGCCTTAGGCATGAAAGCCAGCTGGGTGTCTTTAGGCCAGTGACTTTCTCTCAGCCCAACTCACCACACAGGGTTGTTGTTGTGGGGAAAATAGGAGGAAGGAGCATTAGATAAGTTTGCCGCCTTGAGTTATTTATAAAAATAATAAAGACAGGATATATTTTTTTTAAATGTATATTGCATGTTCTGTGATCATTAAACAATTTATACTGCTCTATCATTTTTACAGTGTTCTGAAGAAATCTGAACAAGCATTTTCTGACTAGGAGTTTTGTTTGTAGGACTGTTTAGAAATTTATACTGCATATGTTAGTTAATGAGAGCCAGTGTGGTATAGTAGTTAAGGTGCTGGACAGGGACTGGGGAAACACATACAGTGGTACCTCGGTTCACGAACTTAATTTGTTCCACGATTCTGGTTGTGAACCGAATCAAATTTCCCCATAAGGTTCAATGTAAATAAGGTTAATCCATTCTGACCCCTACGAATGTGGTCGCCAACCAATTTTGGTTGCCAACCGAATCAAATTTTCCCATAAGGTTCAATGTAAATAAGGTTAATCCATTCTGACCCCTACGAATGTGGTCGCCAACCAATTTTGGTTGCCAACCGAATCAAATTTTCCCATAAGGTTCAATGTAAATAAGGTTAATCCATTCTGACCCCTACGAATGTGGTCGCCAACCAATTTTGGTTGCCAACCGAATCAAATTTTCCCATAAGGTTCAATGTAAATAAGGTTAATCCATTCTGAACCATATGAATTTTTTTTTAAACCACAAAAATATGAAACGAAGCACAGTACAGTACAGTATGAAGAGAGAGAACACTAACCTTGCTTGAGGCGGCTTCTGGCGTGGAGGACAGGAAGGTGGGTGGGGAGGCGATTACTGTTTGGAGGAAGAGTCTCCCTCACCTACAGGAAGCCACGACCACGTGCCAGAGCAGGGAAGATGGCCGTGGGTTGTGTTCGTCACCCGATACGGAGTTTGTGAATGGAAGCAAAATTTTGTGAACGGTGCTGTTCGTGAACCGAATTGTTCGTGAACAGAAGCGTTCATGAACCGAGGTATTACTGTATTCTACTCCTCCATTAGGCACTGGGTGACTTGGGGCCAGTCACTCACTCTCAGCCCTAGACTGGAGAATTGAATAACATCTATGTACCAACCTGCACTAGCCCAGCATGGTTCATCACCTTCTATGAAGAGGCCATTAACTTGCTGATAATAATTTACATGTTTAATTTCCTTTTTCCTATTGTTCAGTAAACATTTAGGTAAATTAACTGCATAACATGACCTGAATCTAGCTGTAAAGCTAAATTTTGTTTAGTACATGAGATGTAGACTTTATGGGCTTCTCTCTTCCTTTGAATAAAATAAATAATTTAAAAAGGATAACATTTTAAAGGGAACGTACACAGATTTTTCCTTCAGTGATTGGCAACCATACGTGACAGGCTACAACCTTAAGGACAACAAGATAAATTGGCTTGTTTGCTGAATTTCAGCTATCTAGAAATTACACCAGAAACAGTTCTCCCTCACAAGCTTATTTCAATGATTTAAAGTATTTGCACCTTGCTGTTCTTCATTTGCTCAATGTGGCTTTCAATTACCAAACCAAGCACAACCTAAGCCTTCAGTTTATGTAGTTTATGAATGCAAGCATACATGTGCCAGGTTGGCCCTTTTCCCAAACTGTACAAATGGAATCACCATCTCCATAGCAACAAGCTTTCAGAGTATTTTGAATCAATATTCCTACACTGAGAAAGCACTGTATTAATGCAAAGTCCAGATTCTGGCATATCTTCACGGAGCTTTCTTTAGGACCAAACCTATAGAAATTTGCTTGTAAATCAAGTTAACTTCATCAGACTAATTTAATTCCACACAATGAGCAGAATGCATAGAAAACAGAACCACAGGAGACAGTCAAGTTTTATTAAGCCGATTCCCATTCAAAAATGTTGGTTGTATGATGCAAGCCATCAATTGCCAAGAAAAAGATATTGGTACAATTATTTCCCAGAATTAAAAAATACAAATAGCCAAGCCTTTTGTCTATGATTACAAAGTTTAAGATTTATTAAAAAAAGGCTATGACTGCTCTTGATCATGACTAATATTTAGTCCTCCAAATAAAGTTCCCTTTCCCTCTGTTTATGGTTTACCACAATGAAACTAAGATGAAGCACAGAAGTCAAATTAAACATAGTTTCCCACATGGCTACCAACTTCCAGAACTATCTAGGTCCTTAAATCATCATTTGAAATACATTTTAATATCCTGGTTTCTTCCAAAGCTGGTTATCATAGTTTAGATGAACAGGGAACTTGCTTACTGGAGATACAAGTTTCACTGATGCATTAATACAAAGGGAAGATAAAAGGAAAACTGCATAGCAAAAGGTCTGGTCATATCTCAGGTTATTAAGAATCATTCAAAGGCCTTTAATATGTTCTAAAGGTTTTTGAGCAACAATTCAGAGTTTTCCTCTTTTCATGTAGAGCATTTTTTGCATGGGAATAGAACACGACTGAGAAAATAGTATGGAGGAAAAAGTCAGAAGAAAACCCAGAACAAGGATTTCATTTACCAAAATCTATTAAACTGGTTGAGTTAAACCTGCTGCCAATTCACAAAATCATTCCAAAGACATGCTTAATATTTATTGGGATCCTGAATCAATGATCTGGACAATATAATTATAAGACAAGCTTTGTTAATTTGTTTTATTATTTATTATTAAAATACTTCTACACAAATCTTTGGGGAATGGCTTTTGTTGGATCTTGTATGGGGGGAATGGAGCAACGAGCAATCCTTCTTGCACCTTGCTCAAGTACATACTCCCTGCACAGCCAATCAAGTGGTTGGTAGAAGAAGCGTCTCCCCTCTTTTGCCCACTAAATCTACTGTTCTTCCTTACTAGTCTCAGAGGCTGAAGATTAATTTATCTTCAAGCAAAGGGTTTGCTCACTTGCTCCGAATTTCTTGATGTTTCATGATCATCAAATACTTCAACACAAGGCCCTGTTATGTGATCTCTTTCCATGAATTAGGATGCAATAAAACCACTCAGCTAGTGTCATGTTTAACCAGGAGAAAAACCTGACTCATAGAAAAGGAGAATATTTTAGAACACATACAGAACTATCAGTCAGAAAAGTTGCACAGCTGTACATTTTACATAGCAATTCCTATCAATATATCAGCACTACACTGCTTACCACAACAAATGTAAGCACGAGCGTGGGTAACAGAGGGCTATTTTTCCAGCATCTGTATACATGATCATAAAAACCAATGCATATTCCCAGGTATCTAAGAAGTTTTAAAGCCAACATGGTAATTATTATGTTTGACGAAATGATAGCACAAGCACAATTACTATATAAAACATGGAACCTCAGACGCACATTCTTATATGGTAATTATATCTATTCTTATCTCCCACTAGAATGGAGCAAGCTACAAAATACAGCTCAGAATTTTTTAAAAAATATCTGATGGAGACAAACACAGCAATAAGGTAGCATTCATTCCCAAAATGTCAGCAGTTTGCAAACTCTTTTCTTTTGCATGTTCTGAAAAGCAAGATAGCCTAGTTGGTGTGTTAACTTTCAAAGAGCTAGCTTTAACAGTAGTCGGGGGGGGGGGG